TTCGCAATTCAATTTATGGCTGAAAACCATTTTGAACACCAGAAAAGAAATAAAAAAGAAAGCCGTAGAGGGATAGAATTCTACAGAGTTTGAATTTATGCAAAATGAAATAATTAAATTTTTTTCCTAATACTTGTGCTCGAGTTGAAAAAAAGAGAAAAAGTTGGAAACTTCGAAAATGTGAAAAAAAGAGCGCGAGAACGGTCTGCCAAGAAAATGAACAGCACAGAAAAAGCTAAGAAACAACAGTCCGTCATGGCGGAAGTCGGTCTTCCCCGCCCTGGAAAGGCTGGAGAGCCCAACTCGGACCGACCGCTAGGGACAGAGTTTCGACAACAGAATGAAGACCGTAAAGACACGCCTACATTTTTGGCTTGGGTCACACTCTCCCGACACGCCCACTATCGCATGGAAAGGAGATTTTTGGAGCGATTCATAACAAAAAAACAAATATTCCTACATTTCCAAGCCTTACTTTTTGCCTGGATCGAAAATTCGAAAAAAAGGCAATAAGTTTGTAACAAAAGAAAGCCAATAAGATTTCAAATAAAGAGTTCTAAAAAAAGTCGAGAGATGTCACTGAGGCAAAATTACACGAAAAATAGGGATATTATTCTTCTTTAGAATTTTTTTCTCAAGTATATCGGAAAAACGAAAAAAAGTATATGAGGAAAGATATCGAAGTTGTAGAGTTTCCAACAAAATGAATTCGGGAAAGATGAAAATCAGTCGTTTCAATAGTTCGAAGTCTTTGAAATAGACCTTAAAATAATTAAGAATCCAATAAATGGGTTTAGTAAAATAGTTGGAAATTCTTAGATCTTTTTGTAACGCGTTCACGCTTGCTTGTGATAACTTTTGAGTATTAGAAATGAATTTTGATACGAACTCCTACTTAGTCATGTTAAATTATCATAATACCTACGGAATCAAGAAGAAATTTCACATATAAAATCAAAATCTATACAGCCGAAGATGATCCAAAAAAAGTTACGTACAAATTTCGAAGCTTTATTTTTGAACAAAATCGATAATTTTACAAAAAAAGAAACACCTATAAAAAAACCAATCTTCTAGAAATGGAAAGATAATTTCACTGCAAAGGGCCAAAGAAGCATGTTTTTCCTTGTTTTTTTCCAAATTCTCAAAAAAAGACAGTCGAAAGAAAGACTACAAAAAAATAGACCTAAAGTTTGAAACATCTTCTAAACTCGTTTTTACGTCTTCTACTTTGCTCTTTGGTGCCATCTCTCACTTGGCTCGCAGCTGTGACCCAAAAAAAGAGCCTTGGTGTGACTTTTTTTCTTTTTACAACTGATTGTAAATTAGAGAGAGTCCATAATGAAGGCCGAGATATGACCTCAACAGAAAAAAGATCTTTGGACTTGCAAGAATCAAAGATCGAGTTACTGTACTTATTTGAAATAAGGATGTCAATCGAGATAAAAATTTTTTTGACTAAAGAAAAAAAGCTAATTCATGTAAAATATTCGACAATCTCAATTTTTTTAAAAAGTTCTCAATTTTTTTCGAGAAGACTCTACTGAAAAAAATTATTTTTGAAGGTTGAAGCATGAAATTACGAATTATTATATAAATTTTCACTGTTTCAAATTATCGTCTTTTTTTCCCGGCCTAAAATCCCTGCGTGATTTTTCTGATTATTATCGAGTATTAGCCGAAATATCGTTCTTCTTAAAAACGGGCTTGATATCTATATAATGAAAGATGTAGCTGGAATATTTCGTTGCTATAACACAGGTTGATTCGAAAACTTTGAAATTTGAAATGGCTCTAAATCTATTTTTTACTTTTCAATGCCAGAACAATCGAGTTTCTGTATTTACACTTAAAAAAACCATTTAAAGGTATTTGTAATACTTTGTGTGTTGCTTACTGAACAACTTGGTCAACGTTAGAAGCAAAATCTACTCAGAAAAGAGCAAAAAACATCGAAAATGGCACGTTTTTGCATCATTCGCCTCATTTGAAACGCCTTTCTATTGAAAATACAGTGAACCACGTTCCAAACAGTACCTGGGTATGTTTTGAAACAAAAATCAAAAACAAAAAAGACAAAAAAACGAAAAAATAAGAGTGAAAAATGAGCGCAACGAGAGCAGAGGAAGAGCGGCTGTCTGCAATCTTCCTAATCGGTGTATGCGGAATTTCATCCGCCGCTTACCGTTTCCACGTAGAAATCGCTAAGACTTATGAAAACTAATATTCTTATGTTTGATTCATGTCTATTACTTTTTTTCTGAATGTAGAGAAAAAAATAACAAACAAAAATTGTATTATTCGCCGGCTAAAGGTTCCCGCAACGACTCAGGAGCCACAGTGGTCAGTTTTCGACGCTCAATTTTTTGTGTTCGACAGACTAGATCTTTCATAATAGAGATCAATTTTTATTTCGAAAGCATGAATTGTCTAACAAGTCTTTTTTTCTGAACATAGGTACAATTAGAATCAACTCAAAAACATGAAAAAAATCTACTGAAAAGTCGCCTTTTTGCCGCAATTGCCGAGTTATGTAATAAATAAGAGGATTTCTATGTAGACTTCCGTGAAACGGTTACTATTTTTGCCATTTTCGATTCAGTCAGTTAAATCCAAAACGATTTGTGAAAAAGAAAAAAATCATATGAAAAAGACTTTTTTTCTCTCGGGATTGCAGAATATTCAACAGTTTTTTTCACTGAGTTCCAGATGAGTTGCGTGAGCAAACAATTGATAGTTTTGTCTTGGAACTGATTCCACAGGAATCTCCGACAATTAACGAGGAACGGGATGGCCTGTTTCCCAAAAAAATATTGCAAAAGAGGACATTTTTTTACCCTTTCAGGCCTTAAAAGGTTTTTTTCTCTTTTTAGAAATTTTTCCCAGTCACGAAAAACTCTCCATAATTGGTTTGGACTTGCCTGGGACTTTCATCCGGAATGCCGTTTACATTCCTAATAAAAAAAGCTTTTTTTCTCTTTTTTTCAAACTTTCTTATTCCCGTCTGTTAACACTTTACTCTCCTACTCTTTGATGAGAAAAACTCACGACACCGCCCACGTCCGATTTATCGATGTAGTCGTGCAAGGTCGAAGTTTTTCTTCTGAAAACTTTGTCGCCCGATTATCTTTCAAGAGAAATTCTGAAGAAAAATTTCTTGTTTTTTTATAGGCTGTCTGTATCATCAAAGCAATTTTCAAACTAATTCTCCTTTTTCAAATGATAATTTTCCTGTTGTCACTTCACTTGTATTTCTTGAAGAGGGTTTTATAAAATGTAAAAAAACTTTCGCTCTGACATTTTTTTCAATCCGTTTTTTTCTGGAAAAGAGACAAGAAAAATGTTTGAAAAATAATGATATTCAAATAAAAAAATCGAACGTCGCCAAAAAAAGAATTCCGGGTTCGATTATTTTTAGCTTCGACCATTTGTGTAAACCTTCTTTTTTTCAAGATAAAAAAATGTAGTTTCAATAGAAAATGATACCTGATTTTTACTGGAGAAGACAGATACATGTTGAAGTAGAGTTTCCCCAAAAATTGGTCGTCGGCAAAATTTTCTGAGAAAAACCAATTGTAGCACAAAGTTTTCAAACAACATTGTACGCGTTACGGAGAAAATAATGAAAAGCAAAAATATATTAAATCGATATCTTTACACGAAATTGGCTTTGTGGACTAATGACAGGAAATCGAAGAGAAAACATTTTTCAAGTGTCTCTATATTATTTAGTCTTGTGTTCCGAAGTTTTAATTACATTCTGCTTGACATTCGGCCACTTTTTAGCCTAATCCTGTAAGAATTTGTTGTGAAAAAATGCTCTCGATGAGGTAAACCAACAACGGGTGAAAAATATCATTTCAAAGCTTTCCGCATTCAGAATCAACTATTTTCAAAAAAAGGATACCTGCATTACAAAAAATTTTTAATTGGTTCCATTCAGAACCGACCTTCTTCCTGGAAAGAGTTATCTCGATGTCGACGACTAAATGTTCTGAAAAAATCTTCAGGACGATCCGTTCAGAAGTTTTGAAAACAAAGATATGAAATACGCATAAACGTATTTAGTTCATCAAATTTTTTTCAAAAAGACGCAAGTTTCATTTTAAAAAAACAGTACAAGTAGACAAAAACGCGACAAGTGTTGAATTTTTTTAACACTTCATTTGACAGGATTAGTTGCTCTGAGCTTCTTGGGGCTCGCAGCTGTCTTCCGTGGCTTCGCAAATCGCCTCCGACATCAGTGTTTTTGAACTGAAAAAAATGAGAAATTCAACATATTTATTCAAAAAAAGTATGTACAATTAACTTTTTCTTTTTCTTTTCCGATTTTTAAATAGTAAACTCAATTCTAACTCATTGGAAACAAGACATTCCGTTATAAATAAGGTGAATTTAGGTTGTTCAGGTTTAAAGAAGCTCATTTTTCTATGTTTCAGCCTCATTTCTAACAATAATCGATTAAGTACCTCATTTACTAATGTTGTTATACTCACTAGAATGTCATTTTTTTCCCAGAAAAAAACGACCGTTCAAATTTGACCATTTCTGTGCTTTTTCTAATATTCAAGTTTGAACTTTCAAATTCAAAAATCTCTCAAGTAATGACCTCTGTGAAGCTTTCGAATTTTTATCCATCAATTTTGTCAATCTCTTTCCGATTTTTCGATTTCACTTCTTTGTTTCAAAATCAGAGTTTTTCTTTTCAACCTACTGTGAGGCTCTTCGAAAGTTTAGTTGAGACCTTTTTTTAAAGCTTTTTATAAGAGTTTCGAACGGAAAAAAACAGAAACCCCTGACAAAAAAATATGTTTTTTTGTGGGAGACAAAGTATCGAAACCTCTGACATCGGCATTTCTCATTTCGAGTGAATATCAAGCGATTTTTTTCCGTCTGTTGAAATGAATTTTCGAAATTCTCCACTCTTTTTCAAGTTTTGCAAAATATGTTTTTAATTTCTTTTCCCAGTTTCACAAGTTGTTTTGACTCACCTTTTTCGTTCATTTGAGTGACGAAAGATTTTTTTGATCAGCGCGACTTTCGCGAGCTTTCTGCAGGATCATCTGCTTGGCGTACTCGCGTTTCTGTCGGTTATTAAAGTTCTGAAAAAAGATTCTGCTGTCAGTTTACGAGAGAAATTCAAACTTGGTTTCGGTAAATGGTATCCACTGGATTATAGCCCGCTCGATGGAACAAAGCGGCGTCAGGCGGAGAGATCCTCACCTGCAAGGAAATCATTCGTCTTTATTTTTCGTAGTACTTGAAAGATTCGACTAACGGAGGAGTGTTCTATTTCATTTTAATATTCACCACGACTCCAAGTTCATTTACTCACCTTTTGGCCAAGTGGACGATTGCGGCGAAACATGGGAGTGAAGTATTCTTCTGTATTGACATAAGTTTCGTCCTCAAAAGGACGCTGCAAAATAATAACTTGATTTTGATTCGTGCTTTTTCTTGATTTGGTTTTGAAATCGAATCTCTTTCAACTCACCGTTTGACGACCGCGTGTAATTGTGATGTTGCTAAATATTTCAGATTCGGCTGGGGGGAGGACGGGGGGGCTGGTCGAACAAGACGGGATGGAGTTCTGAAAAATGACTGATTATAAATTTTCTTTTTTGGGTTTGCTGGTTGTAACAGAAAACTTTTTCTGTTCTTCTTAGATATTTCTGATCACTTTCTTCAACATTCCGTGGAAGACATAATGGAAAGACAGAAACAAAAGTAAGGTGTGCATTTTCCATTTAAATCAAGCGATTAATATAAATACCTCCACGGAAATCTTATTTAAAGAGCTTACGAGCGAAAAAATTTCCGTACTTTTTTTCTGCAATCATTCTCTGTTTCTTTGTCAAAACTCACGCTCAGATCGGAATGTTCAGTGACCGGGCCGTCGAAGGAAATAGGACTGACAATGAAACGCGGACTGTTGAGAGTAGTGAATGGGACGACAATTGACTGAGCAGTCTGAAACTCGTTTCGTCCGCTGATAGTGAAGAAATAAAAACTTACAAAATTCTCTGGCTTCTCAGACACAAGACGTACTGGACTTTGTCCAGACACCACGATCTCTCCGAGGTTTATGCGCGACTTAATTTTCTTCTGAAATAAGCAGTTGAAATTTTACCTCGAAAGCTTTTTTAAACGTTCTCAAAAACTACACGCGCCTTAGTAAGGAACTTTTTCTGAGCTTTTTTCATCACTCGATTTTCTTTTATAAAACCAACCTTTTCATTGAGCGGGGCGTTCTGGGTTTCTGAGTGCGAGACTGAAGCTTCCGCCTCAAACAACTCGAGAGTTCCCAACAAGAAGTTCTTGGTAGTCATCTAAAAAAGGAAGTTCAATAATGAATAAACACGATTTTTTGCATGAAAATGTTCCGCAACTCACCATGCCGTTCGGACTCCACTCGTCGATCCCAGCGGCGAGACGAGGAGTCGAAGTGACTGCCGTCCAAATCTGAAACTCGTGTTGATTCATATGAATTTGAGTGGGAACAATGTGATTTTAAGAGGAAGATTATCAGATAATAAATATAGCTTTGCATTCTCTGGAAATCTCTGTTTTTTGTAGGTTTCCTGCTTTTTATGCACTTTTAAAAAGAAAACTTGGAGGCTTACCGGCGACTCAACATTAACCGGAGCGAGAACTTCGTCGGAAGCGGCACCATGTGGAACTGGGAGCCCGACAAAATCCGACGCCTGCAAAAAAGCCTGATTTCCCACATAATTACAATCTTGCTAACCTCTCTCCTGGGCTGTTGCTTGAAGACTGAGACGGCGTCAGTGATCAACTTTTTCGACCTGCAAATTCCATGTTAATCATTTTTCCTGGAGTTTTATTTTTCTTACATTTGCTTTCAGGGAGTGAAAGGCGAATATCGACGAGGGCTGAAAAAAAATAGTGATTTAATAGGAAGTTTGTTTTTTTGATGAGAAGACAGATAATCTATAATCGAATATTTATCTTTATTTCAAGTTTATGAAAGAACTTTAAGAAAAATTTGATTACCTCATTTATTTCAAGCTACCAGGAACTGGGCACAATTTGTCGAACTCGTCGTCGAAAACAAAAAAACTCCAGACATGTTGAGCGCGCTGAAAAATTTTTACATTTAGAACTGTTAGTCGTGAAGAAACAAGTTACGACGAGACAACGAGCAAAAATTGGTAAAGGAGAAATCGAATCCGCAAAAAATATTTTATATGGAAAACAGAGAGAAGAATAAAATACAAATAAGATAGTTTAATAAAAAGAAAATTCATCGAAAAAAGAAGAAAATAGCTGGCAAGTCGATTTTGAGACACATTAATGACTGAAAAACGAGATATAATCCAAGGTTTTTGTGTTTTCAATGCAAAAATAGTTGGGTATTCGTATTTAAACGTAGGAAACAGTTCAAAAGTGCTTAAACTACTCCATGTGTTGCTTATGAGACAACTTGGTCAACGTTAGAAGCAAAATCTACTCAGAAAACCGCAAAAAACATCGAAAATGACACGTTTTTGCATCATTCGCCTTATTTGAAACGCCTTTCTGTTGAAAATACAGTGAACAACGTTCAAAACAAGACGTGGGTATGTTTTGAAACAAAAATCAGAAACAAAAAAGAAAAAAAAACGAAAAAATAAGAGTGAAAAATGAGCGCAACGAGAGCAGAGGAAGAGCGGCTGTCTGCAATCTTCCTAATCGGTGTATGCGGAATTTCATCCGCCGCTTACCGTTTCCACGTAGAAATCGCTAAGACTTATGAAAACTAATATTCTTATGTTAGATTCATGTCTATTACTCAATCTAAATGTAGGAAAAAAATTAATAGATGAGAAAAAAATCAATATATTTGCCGGCTAAAGGTTTCCGCAACGACTCGGGAACCACATTGGCCAGTTTTTCGTCGCTTAATTTTTTTGTGGTCGACATCTTTATAGACCGGTTCTGATATATTGAAGTTTGAATATGTTTTTAAAATTAAAAATTCAACTCACAGAGCCTTTGCCTGAACATACGTACAATTAAAATCAATTCAAATTATGAAAAAAATCCATCGAAAAAGTCAAATTTGCGGCAATTCGCAGTCAATTCAGTGTGCTATATATATATTTTTTTGGTAGATTTTTCATCATTAATCTTACTGTTGATTGTGTCGAAAGACTAATCTCCTTAAACTTTCAACATAGAAAAATATAATAAAATACCATTTTTTTCCAGGATTGCGGTCAATTCATCGTTTTTTTCCGCTCTGTTTTGGCTATACTTCACATTAAATCTTAGTGTTGAGCTTGTCTCGAAATTGATTATAACAGAATGTTTTTCAATTTAGCTTTTCAATGTTACAATGACTACGAAAAGTTATTCTGTCTAAATATCCGTTCAACTCGGTTTTCGACGGAACTAAGCAATTATTTTAATTACTAATCAGAAAACTCGTAGCCAAGTGTGGAAAGTATCCAAATTACCCCTTTTTAAGTATTTTAACGCGTTCCAAAATTTTTATTCGGCCATTTCTGTTTCTGACAATCAAAACTCATTTTTCATCCCTATTGCGCAGAATCCTTTGAACCCGACATAACCTTAGAGACACTTACCAGTGTGCAATTGAAATTCGATTTGTTATTGGTCTCATATTTGAAAAAATTAGAATTCAATGAAAATCTGTACAGCTTGAAAGTTCTAGAGAGGCTGATTTCAGATAATAGTTTGTCTTTTGTCCTTCTCTTTTGAGTTCGTACAATTTTTTTACCAACTACCTAAAGAACAAGAAATTTTGCACAATTTTTGAATTTCTCTGACCACACTCAATATCATCTTTATTCCTACTCTTCCATAAGAAAACTCACGACACCGCCCAAGTTCGATTTGTCTTTGTAGTCGTGCGAGGTCGACGTCTTCCATCTGACAGCATTCCGTCGTCTGAAACTTTTTCCAACAGGCGATCCTGAAAAAAATTTTTGTAGTTCAAGGTTATCAGTAAAAGTTTAACTATTTACGAGCTAATTCTTAAATTTTGGACGGAAAAATTGTTTTCAAAAGTTTCAACGCGCTGGAAAAAGCTGAGTGAGAGTTTTATAACGTGTGAATATACAAAATCATCATTTATCTGAAAGAATGAAAGGAAATTTGAAGGAAAAAAAAGCAGGAAAATAGGAAAATCGATAAAAAAAAGACCGTTTATTGCTTTCGCGCTGCATAAGAAACAGTTTTCCTACTGTAACTCGGGCCGGCGAACGGCAGAGATTACCTCCAAGCAATGTTGGAAATGCTCTACAACTTAACAGAGAAATTTCACCCTTTTGGTGACTCTAAGTCGTTGTTCAGCCGGAGATTTGCTCCTTTTCAACCTTTAAAGGGCTTTTTTTTTTACAGTTTACTCGAAAAAGCAATCGAGAACTTTCAGTGAATTAGAAAAACGGTTTTAATGTCATAAAAATGAAGAACAACTCAAAAAACGGCTATGAAACTCTCGAAAAAGAGGAAAACGGAGAGTCCACTTTCGCGTACTCCCGCAGTGTAACTACGTGGAAAGCGAAAAATAGCTTATTACATCTTAAAATGCTTCAAAAACATTATTTAATGATATTTAAGCAGCTTGGGAGCAAAAAGAAACAAAAAATGACAAATTAAAACAGAAAAAAACGAAGGAAAACGAGAACAAATGACAGAAGAAGAGACGATTGGCTCAGTATCACTGTGTATTACGCAGTTGATGCGCAGTTAATTCAGAGTGAGTTTTTGCCATTTTTCTTCGTTTTTCTTGGTTTTTTTTTCTTTTAATGTCTTAATTCGAGTTTTTGGCACACTATGAGCAAATATCATCTTCGAGAAATACTTTTTCGCTACGAAAACTTCGATTTTTGGGCTAAATTTGTTGCGAAAAGCGACAAATTTTAATTGAACCGCAATCTTTGCCCTGCAAACAATGAGCAGTTGTGATCGATAAATCAACGTTTTATAAAATATTGATATAGTCACCTCTTCCGAAACCTACTGCTAATAAAAGTTTAAAAAGATTATTTCAAGCATGGAATCATTCTGAAAACGTCTTGAAGGGGTTACAGTTTTTTTCAAAGTGGGAAAAACCTGAAAATACAGTGAAGCAACACAAAAGACAAGGATAAATGTTGAACGAAAGGAAAATTCTCAAAAATCGGGAGGTGCGAATGGAAATCATCCGGGCGACTTCAAGCGTAGGATAACTTTTCATAGCTATAAATGTTCAAAATCACTTTTTATTCGTTTAGAGTGTATTATTGTCAACAAACGAACTTGGAGAAAGTGGAAGAAGAATGCAAGAAAAGTGCTCTGAGAGTCGTTCGTACTGAAAACATGAATACGAAGGCATTGAATAACTTTTTTGCCTTTCTGAACGTTTCTTTGGGCTGATTTCATACATCGAAATGTATTAAAACTATAAATAATTAATGGGAAAGCGATGAAACTTTTTTCGTTTATCAAGAGATTTGGAAAATCGCAGTGAAACAACCAATGAAAGTCGACTCGAATATTAAATTTCAGTTGTGCTACAAAATTTGTTTTCGTAATAAAAACTGTTCAGAATTGGATTTTAATGAAATCAGCTTGGCGGTGAACAGAAAGGTTTTGCTTGGAACTCTTTCGAAATCGATCTTTTTCAGTTATTTCCAATTAAAATATACTCGGAAACTTTTTCCCATGGCTTCTGTCTGCTTCAAAACGACGTTAACAAAGAAATATATATCAAAAAGGTTTTTTTTCCTGAGGTTATGATGCATCCCACGATTCAACAAATTTTGAGAGTCTGCAAAAAAGCTGTTTTCATCGATCGACCTTCAGTCGGCAAAAAGAAAATGCATTAGTTAAGGTATTTCTGATAGTACCAGAAAGAAAAACTGGCCAGAGGCCGCGGGAAACAAGGATACACCGAGACACGCACTCTCTCCTTTTTCCACGCTCTCTCACTGACCCGGCCGCGCACGTTTGAAAGTTGTTGACGTTCCACGTGGCCTTTCCACTAGGGTCATGAGAAAGAAGTCACGTCGTCAGTTCTGACCGCGTCTGTGTGGAAATCGCCGAACTCCTACTTCCTCCATTTCTGCTGGTGCTGAACACCAAATTTGGTCAATGGAAGCCGTTCCGTGATGCAAACTTTGACGGGATCTTTTCATTAGGTAATCAGGTTTTTTGTGTTTCTGTCTTGATACTCTCTCAAATTCAAAGAGAAAAGATGCAAGGAAACTTAATTTTTTTCGGCTGATTCTTTGCGAAATCAAAATGTTTGAAAGGATTTCATTGTTTTACGATGATCTGTTTTTTCGTTTCAGACTGTATACTGCGACAAAAAAGGGTCTCGGAATCGGCCACGGGTATTCCAAAAATGAACGCATCTTTCTTCTCGCCGCCATCGCTGGAAGATGTTGCAGCTCTGCTTCATTCTCTCGTTTGAGCAGAAGTCCGAGGGCTGGGAAAAGCAGCGGAAGTTGGCCACGTGATGATGACTGACGCAGAACTAGTCGATCAACATTTTGTTTCATGGTATAACTTTTACTTCCTCTTGCGAAAATACATCTTATACCTTTCCGCAAATTTAGAAAACCTTTTAGAAATTTAAAAAAACTGTTTTTTTTTCACCTAATTTGCGTTTTTTTTACTTTGAAGCTTCATAACTCGGAAACGAGGTCTACTGCGAGAAATTTTTTTTTTGTTTTGGAATCAGGGGGTCCTAAAGCAAAAGTTCAGCCGCGGGTAAGTAACGTTGCCTGATTGAAAAATTGAAAAAGTCTTTACTGTAAAAGGTTTATGAAAATTGAGACACTAAATTCACCTGTATGAAAGTTTTCACTTAAAAAGCGGCAGCAGAACATGTACACTTCTTTGAAAACTTCTTTTTTCAGTCCACATAGGGTTAAAACCACCTCAAATTTCAAAATGTTTTTCATTGTTTTTCCTGATCCTTTTTCAACTGAATTAAATGAAAAAAACAGTTTCAAAAATTCGAAAAAGTACTTCGAATAATTTGAAC